GCGCTGACATTTGATCTACACAAACTTAAATCTTAATGCAAATCTGTCACATGTAGAGGGCTGACATTTGATCTACACAAACTTAAATCTTAATACAAATCCGTAACATGTAGAGGGCTGACATTTGATCTACACAAACTTAAATCTTAATACAAATCTGTAAAGTTGACAGGGCTGACATTTAATCTACACAAACTTAAATCTTAATGCAAATCTGTAACATGTAGAGGGCTGACATTTGATCTACACAAACTTAAATCTTAATACAAATCTGTAACGTGTAGAGGGCTGACATGGGATTTATACAAACTTAAATCTTAATGAGCTACACACACATCTAAATGTTAATATCGATACATGATTACAGTAGTGACATATGGACTTCACACACAGAAATCTAAATAATAAAGATCTTATCAAACTCACTAGTAAATAAAATATAGATTGACTAAAACTCAAATAATGGGAGTAAATCTGACTAATGTATAAGTAATATTTTAAATGTATGTACATATATTATCAATAGATTAAAATATCAAAAACGTCAATAAAATTCTAAGCGCTTTCAAACTTGTTTTTGCCTGCTAATTTTTGCTTTTGAATTAAGATTTACTTCAGCAATTTAAAAATAAATAAATCAAAATGCATATCACATAAAAGCAAAGAAATTGTTCTGGTATCCAACATGAATACATATCAAATTGCAAAGGATGAGATTGCAGCTTTTCAGTTTACACTGAAGTTAAGATTTGTTCCACTGCCATCATTTTTCCAGATAAAATTAGGCGTTTTCAAGAGGTTTGGCAATATAACAAAAGAACTTTCTGACAGACTTGTTTACAAAGAAAATAGAGGACCTTGAAATGCATCGGCAATGAAGTTGGCAAATAAAATGAGGGGTAGTTTATTACGGTTTTACTATACATGGTTTTTGGCTAGCAGAAATGATTGTGACTCGGTCAATATCTGTTATAGTTTCGTAAGATAATGATGTATTGCTTGGTTTACATCTGCTTCAATCTAGGCAACATATTAACCCTTTCACCACTATAGACCAAAATGGACTCATCCAGATCAATTCATGGTAGAGTGTACTAAAGTTACATAGGTGTGAATGGGTTAATAAATTTATTGGAATAACTCAGAAAAAATATCATTCAAGATTCTCCTGTGCTTAAAGCACCTATCCAGAGCGTTGACAATTACTGTATATATATTAAAATATATTGGAATCAGACACCAATTTTTTTTCCCACCACAAAATATTTCTTTAAATTTATTTTTATTTCACACATTCTTCTGTGTCTAAAACCTATCAGAGTATTGACAAAAACATTTAAATACATAAGCGTATGACACTAGAAATTCTTTAACCACAAACTTGTTTTTCAGACTTTCATGTTTCACACATAAAAAAACAACAACATTATTTAGCAAAAACAGTAATTATTTGTAGCACTTTGGGACACAATAAAGTATATTTTTTAATACAAATATATATCTATGTATGATTGGCTTATATTCATGATCATTACATAAAGTGTTTACTACATATATCACATTTTTTCTAGGATATATCAGGTGAACATTGTCCACCTCTCCTTGCCCATCTTATTATATAAGGGGACATAACTCCGATATAAAAATGATTACAAGGTATATTTTTGATACACTCACATTTCAAGTTTTTTGGTATAAGCTGAAAGAACTTCTCCAATAACTACATTAGGAGACAGAGTGCTGTAAAATTTACCAAACTAATTATTTATTAAACTATCCTATATTTACATGACATTTACTGATTTAGAAATTGCCTACATAATTATTCTGATTATAACATGTACAGTAAAACGAATCTCAAGGGACTTATTTGACCAGTTCATTATAAAGGTAGTTCTCAACATGTGTATACCGAAGTTAGATTTTTTTTCAAAATGTATATGAAAAAATGTAACTTAAACAGCGCAATCCCAAATCACCGGGAATATTTATATTCATCTTAACATAAGTGTATCCACACAGTCTCTTATCGAGCCACGAGAAAACAGGGCATCTCGTTAATAATAGCACTCGCCCTAGCGTCACTGATGACCGAATCTACCTCCTCCTCACTGTCAGATACCTGGAGTATGAGTACATGCTTCATGACTTCAATATCGGACATCTCTCTCATGTTTATTCCGTCTTTTCGTATTGCAGAGTTATCTGCTCTTGTCAGCTGGTATTGATTGTTACGTCATTAGTTTGTGTGAGAAAATTACGTCTTTTTGAGAAAAAGTTAGGACGTTACTCTCACAAACAAAGGATGTAACAATTAATACCTGCTCACAAGAGCAGATAACTCTACAATACGAAAAGATGGAATAACACAACAGTTGAACATAACTCATTGTATTCAGTAGTGGTTTTATATCGCATTCAATATACATAAAATTATGCTGGATAAATAACCGAACACCAATATCGTCATTGAAAACACAACTCGCGGTGTTCAGTAGTAGTACGCATTTAGCGTGTTAAACAAGTAGCTGACAGTTGCCCCTCGGGCGCCTCTTGTTGCCCACAGTCGAGGTCGACGGTTTCTAACTTCTTACTTCGGAAAAATAAGTCTGTACTACAGTGTCAAAATAACATTGAATTTCACCTGAGGGCGCCGCTGATTTGCTGATGTGAAATTCGCAATATGATCATAAAATTACATAGAAGTAAAAGGGAGATTAGCTGGGGAATCAGAATCGATTCGCAATACCCATTAAATTGCAATAAGCGTGTTCGTACTAAATGTGTTTTACTGTATGTATTTGCTAAATCGTTTCTGTTTTGTTTCCTCCCAAAACCTCCTCTTGATTATGATTTTTAAAATTACGTAGGATCAAGAGGGCACAAAGAATTGAACTATCCTTTCACAATGGTAGTTTTTTCATGACAATTCAGAGAAACGTGACAACACTGTCTACATTAATTAATAGAGAGTAGAAAAAATTAACAAAAAGATATAAAAACAAAACTAAATTACATACAAATCATCACTGACTTTACATTTAAAGCGATTCTGTTTTCAGTATTTCGTATAGCCCCCCCAAAAAATCACAGACCAAAAAAATTCATGTAGTAATGGATCAAATACAAACTAGTTTTCAACATCATCTGTTTAAATTGCCGTCAATTCAGAGTGATGATACCAGTGATTTTACCCATCAGATTTGGGTGAAGGTGTACTTGTATTAAGACATGTATCAAAGATTTACTTAGTACACAAGCAATGTCATAAGATTTTAAGCTCAACTTTCTTTCTCAAGCAGTGCCCAAATCTTTTTAAACTTCATAAAGAGACACATCAGTCTTGAAACATTACAACATATTTACCTAATTATTTAGCCTTATTCAATCTTAAATATCCATTTTGCCTGCATATTCAGATCTGGGTTTAGACACCTCATTAATTGCTCCAGATCTGGGTTTAGTCACACCTCATTCATTCTTCCAGATCTGGGTATAGTCACACTTCATTAATTCTTTCAGATCTGGGTATAGTCACTCTTCATTAATTCTTCCATATCTGGGTATAGTCACACCTCATTAATTCTTCCAGATCTGGGTATAGTCACACCTCATTAATTCTTCCAGATCTGGGTATAGTCACTACTCTTCAAATCTGCCAGATCTGGGTTTAGTCACATTTCATTAATTCTTCCAGATCTGGGTATAGTCACACCTCATTAATTCTTCCAGATCTGGGTATAGTCACACCTCATCAAATCTGCCAGATCTGGGTTTAGTCACACTTCATTAATTCTTCCAGATCTGGGTTTAGTCACACCTCATAAATTCTTCCAGATCTGGGTATAGTCACACCTTATCAAATCTGCCAGATCTGGGTTTAGTCACACCTCATTTATTTCTTCCAGTTTTTTTTAACCAACACCAACCAACTGACGTCTCCAGAAACAAAAGTGAGGGAATGTTATACCCAGACTAGTGGTTCACTTCCTGGTACATGTTATACCCAGACTAGTGGTTCACTTCCTGGTAGTTATCGTATGTGTATGTAACAGACACTTAGAATAAGGAAAACTCTCCACTCTTTCAAAGCAACACAAGTCGGTGAGAGCACAACTCTTCACGTTTCTCATAATATAAAACGTATTGGAGGAATTCCATAAATACTGTACAAATCCTGGTGAATTTCTATAGTGCTTTGAAGTGATGTCTTTTCTTATGCTTTAAGTCATCCTTTTTTGGCCATGAGCTATATTTGTAGAAAGCACATAGCCTGGATCAGGACATGGTTTTAATATGACGCTACCACTGACTGTATTGAGTGTGTTCTCAACACACAAGGGAGATAATCCTGTTGTTTCTGATGAGGACGTTGGGACACATTGGCCCTCATTTACTTTTGTAGAAAGCACATAGCCTGGATCAGGACATGGTTTTAATAAGTCGCTACCACTGTCTGTATTGAGTGTGTTCTCAACACACAAGGGAGATAATCCTGTTGTTTTTGATGAGGACGTTGGGACACATTGGCCCTCATTTAGATTTGTAGAAAGCACATAGTCTGGATCAGGACATGGTTTTAATAAATCGCTACAACTGTCTGTGTTGAGTGTGTTCTCAACCAACAAGGGAGATAATCCTGTTGTTTTTGATGAGGACGTTGGGACGCATTTGCCCTCATTTACTTTTGTAGAAAGCACATAGCCTGGATCAGGACATGGTGTTAATATGACGCTACCACTGTCTGTGTTGAGTGTGTTCTCATCACACAAGGGAGATAATCCTGTTGTTTCTGATGAGGACGTTGGGACACATTGGCCCTCATTTACTTTTGAAGAAAGCACATAGCCTGGATCAGGACATGGTTTTAATATGACGCTACCACTGTCTGTGTTGACTATGTTCCCAACCCACAAGGGAGGTAATCCATCGCCAACTAATGTAGCACTATGACGAATATCAGGCTCTGGTGATGTAGCACCATTACTGGTGTCATGATCTTCCTGTAATGGCACTGGTGAGCTCTGGAATAAAATGTTCTCAGATGTGGATTGGCAGCTGCTAGATGGGAAAACTGGTGGAACTTCATCACATATTGGTGGAGTCAACATATGGTGACGGTGGTGCGAGGGTGGTATTGTGTGGGACTACAGGAAGGGAAGGTGATTGACCATGGACATTGGTGGTGTCTACATATGGTGATGGTGGTGTGAGGGTGGTATTGTGTGGGACTACAGGAGGGGAAGGTGATTGGCCACTGACATTGGTGGTGTCTACATATGGGGAAGGTGGTGTGAGGGTGGTATTGTGTGGGACTACAGGAAGGGAAGGTGGTGTGAGGGTGGTATTGTGTGTGACTACAGGAGGGGAAGGTGGTGTGAGGGTGGTATTGTGTGGGACTACAGGAAGGGAAGGTGGTGTGGGGGTGGTATTGTGTGGGGAAGGTGGTGTGAGGGTGGTATTGTCTGGGACTACAGGAGGGGAAGGTGATTGGCCACTGACATTGGTGGTGTCTACATATGGTGACGGTGGTGTGAGGGTGGTATTGTTTGGGTCTACAGGAGGGGAAGGTGATGGACTACTGACATTGGTGGTGTCTACATATGGTGACGGGGGTGTGAGGGTGGTATTGTGTGGGTCTACAGGAGGGGAAGGTGGTGTGGGGGTGGCATTGTGGGGGTCTACAGGAGGGGAAGGTGGTGTGGGGGTGGTATTGTGTGGGTCTACAGGAGGGGAAGGTGATGGACCACTGACATTGGTGGTGTCTACATATGGTGACGGGGGTGTGAGGGTGGTATTGTGTGGGTCTACAGGAGGGGAAGGGGATGGACCACTGACATTGGTGGTGTCTACATATGGGGAAGGTGGTGTGAGGGTGGTATTGTGTGTGACTACAGGAGGGGAAGGTGATTGACCATGGACATTGGTGGTGTCTACATATGGTGACGGTGGTGCGAGGGTGGTATTGTGTGGGACTACAGGAAGGGAAGGTGATTGGCCACTGACATTGGTGGTGTCTATATATGGGGAAGGTGGTGTGAGGGTGGTATTGTGTGGGTCTACAGGAGGGGAAGGTGGTGTGGGGGTGGTATTGTGTGGGTCTACAGGAGGGGAAGGTGATTGACCACGGACATTGGTGGAGTCAATATATGGGGAAGGTGATGGGCCGGTAAGATTGGTTGTGTCTTTATTTGAAGAATAATGCGACATTCGTTCCACAGTGCTGACCATACTAGCAGATATGCCTTCAGCTGTTTGTTTACTTGGATCTTGTCCCTGTCCAGGGCTTTGTGCAGTAATACGTGAGTAACCTACAGTGCTTGATGAATTAGTTTCTGGAGCAGAAACATCCTCGACAGGCCTACCTGTACTGACAGGTATGAGCTTCACTTGGTCAGGAACTATATATCCGTTATTAGTACAAGCAGACCTTTGGTTTAATCTTTCTACAAAGCCGACAGTTATGTTAGTAGGATTGATGTTTACCACCTGAGAGGAGACTGGCTCTGTAATAACCTCTCTGTCTCCAGGTAACTGGGGCTCATTCTGTTCGCCAGGACTTTGTTGGGGTGGTATGTTTTGCACTTTAATATAGGAGGAGGGATCAGATGATCTATCAGGTGGTCTTGAAGTTACCTCAGCCCCCGGCAAAACAAACTCCGGAACGGGATCCATCCTGTCTGGAGACTCTGGCTCTGTGGAGATGCTATCACCCCTAGCACTGTCTTTACTAATCTGCGTCTCAATTTTCAAACGGTTCCGCATCTGAACAACATTCGACTGGCCATCAAGATCCTGCAACTAAAAAACCACAACATCAGGTATAGTGTTCCTGTACAGTAACAACCTTTCTTGGGGGTATTTCAGCTGTGGGACGGCTTCATTTGGGGATTTAACATCGTCATGTGATTCGTAAGTCCCCCAAGAATTATCAATGTACATTCAATTCATCAATATTGCTCACAAGTTACTTGGCTCGGCCAGCAACAACTGATACCTGACACATATTTGCTTACCAGATAGCCAAATCAAACTGAAGGTAGTACCAAACACCACAGCCGTTATAGCACCGTAGCCCAAATGTATTTTTCAGTGGTTTGGTTTGGTTTAATTTTGTTTAACGTAATGAATTTTATGGTATTTAAATCTATATATGCCTTGTGTCTTTTGTTCATAAATCAATAAACATGTCAACAGGTATTACAATAATTTATCCTTATATCACATAATTATGCATAATTTTTAGTCTAGAGATGATTAACTTTTAAGTTGAAATAGCACCAGAAGACATATCTCAAGCTCAAAATCTAGATTTTTATTTACGTTGTAAAAAATGGCGCCTATGAGGACTATGTATTTTGTTTCAGACTGTAAGAATAGTTTAGAATAAAGAAATATTTGTAATATTCCTTCAAATTCCAAAGATCACGAGAAAACATTAAAATAGTGACAAAGAATGGTTATTTGAAGCACAAAATATAACAAAATTCAAGCCCTGATCCGTTTTGGGTACTGACATTGCTAAAAAAATGGAAATGCAAATCAGTGATGTCAGAGTGTTCTTTAAATATCCTATGTGAGCGCTTGGTGTTTATTTCATATGTAAGAACACCTATCAATATTCTTCTTCTGATACAACCATAAACTAATATAATTCAACTGCTGAATTTTCAATGAACGAAGAAAATGATGGCGATCCATTTTGGGTACTGTCACCTTATATGACTTTACATAAAGTAAAATATCATTTATTTACATTGCAAACTTTCCAATAAAGCACTCTCTATAAGAACTCTAATTAACATCTCTGCTCAAATTTTTATCAACAAAGATATATCTAAAATTCAGTAATAATAAAAATAAAATGAAATCATGATAATATTGGTCAAATGTTATAATGACACATATGTACACTGTTACTACATAAGCTCACATATGTACATATGATGCAACTTCAGTATTTAACAGAATTCTGTACTGCGTTACATACAACTGTCACCCCTGAAGACACATTTGAACTCTTCCAATTCAAAGGTTGGAATAGTTCATAATGAAATTTCAGGGGTGAATGAGTTAAAGCTCAAAGGTGTGAAAGGACAGAAACAAAGCAACACAGTATAGCATAATAAAACCAAAATCTCCCAAAGAGGGAAGTAAAAAATCTCAACATCTTAGATGGAAAGGGAGAGAACTCCCACGTTAACTCATTCTGCACCGTTTTTATTTCAGCTTAAGCCTAGGAATTATTGAACAGACTGTTTTATTGACAATAGGCTTGTACCCTGGAGTCCAGAAAACTGATTGTGTTGACACCATTAGTTGTTGTTTGTACTGAAAGTATTACAATACATCAACAGAAATCATATCGTGTGAACTAGTTCTGTTGGAATGGAAACAATGACAAGGCTTTTGGAAGTAACTCAGGATTTGGTTTGGTTTGTTTGTGTTTTACGTCCTATTAACAGCTATGGTCATTTAAGGACGTGCCAGGTTTTGGTTGATGGAGGAAAACTCTGTCAAAAAGGGTGGAAACAACAAAAGGAGTGAAGAACTTGAGAAGTTGTGGGAAAAAAAGAAAAAAAAAAAGGAAAGAAAAGCCTGACTATTAGTATTACAATAGTGTATATCAATGATCAAAGGGCCATAACCACGCTAATAAGTAAAAAATAAGCCATGACTCAACCTTGATCTGCTACAACTAAGTTTATAATATATGCAGCCACATACTAATTTTCAGCTTGATCTCTCCAAGCATGGAAAAAAACCCAGAAAAAGTTATTAAAATGTGTCTTTCAAAGAACTATGACTGTCAAAAAAATAGGGATAATCAGTTGTGACCCAAGTTTGATCTGTTACCCTTAAAGAGGAAGATTTTCAACTCAATATATCGAAGCAAGACAGAAAAAAATAGTTCTCATGCTCAAACCCAGATTCTGTGCTCAAGCCCGTTTCTTGTGCCAGAGATAAATTGATAAAAAAAATGCTCAATGTTATGTAAGACATTTAGAAAGACTTAAGGCCGAATGTCATTTTCAATATTTCCACTCGACCATTTGACTATGTCATATGATTTAAGGGAGTTACATAACAGTCAGCTTAAGCACATACTTCATGCTTGAGCGTGAGAACAGTTTCATGAATACAAGCCCAGAAATTGATGAGCAGAAGAGATAGACATAGGGGAACTAATAAACTTAATAGACCTTCATCCCAGCCAACTGGAGACAAAAAATAATTTCTCTATTGATCAGGACTCATAAGGAGAACTCATTTGTTTTTGACACTCTTGATTTGTGACCTTCACAATGGGTCAATGTTGTTGATTTTAACATATTTGACCCATATCACACAAATCTACATGCTTAATGCCATAAATGTAATACATAACATAAACACTGTTCGCTGTGTGAGATTAGAAAAAGTTTCAGTGCAGGTATAAATAGTTGTCCTGCTATATGATGTATTTGATCCCAAGGGAAATGAAGAAAACCATAGGAAACAGAGGAAGCAACCAATTTCCCATACATTTTAATATTTCTGAGGTGAAACATGTTTTGACACAGGGATTTATTTAATAAGCATTGGGTTAAAAAGGTCTGAAAATTAAGATATAGGAAGATATTTCTGAATTGACATGTTACCATGTTCAGGATTCCTACCTCTGACTCCGTAATAAGTGCATAGTTGGGGTCCAACAATTTCTGATGGTCGTCAGAAATGAACCTGTTTTTCTGGTTAAGAATATCATCAGTGTTTATATTCAAGAATATCTGAGTACAACAATATTGTTTTCAAGGCATAGTTACTACCTATTCTTTACAAACCATCAACTACAGGTAAACATTCCGTCGGATCACAATGACCCCCAACTTAAAGTTGTCTCAGCATCAAAGTTTGGTAAGGAGAACAACACGCATTTACAAGAATATTTGTCATTCCAGTTTGAGTTATATCGATATAGCTGCGAGCTCGAGTATGCTCCATTAAAGCAAATAGCAACTACTGGCATAGCATGCAACAAAGTGATGGTATCCATATTTAGCATTAGACAGAAAATATAAGACCCTTAATATTCACAATTCATATGAAATATTCAAACTTATAAAAGTGAGATTTTAAAAATAACTTGTTTTGAATTTGATTATAAAGAGTTTTGAAAAAGACTATTCTTTCAAGTTTCAAATAATTTTGTGGTCTAAAGTAGAATCACTTCAATAAGGCAGTAAATTCTTGTAACAACTAGGAAAGCAAAATAAGAAAGTTTTTTTTATGAAGGTGTTTGCCTTGATTATAGTTGTGAATCTGCTGTACTGCTAAAGGGTGTTTACCTTTGGACGTTTTGTTGGCGTGATCAGTTGAGACGTAGAACTGGCAGATGAATCTTGATAAACAGGGTCAGGAGATAAGCCCTGAAGCAAACAAAGCAACTGTATACAGATCTGGAACACATGTACCATATGTGGAACACATGTACCGTATGTGGAACACATGTACCAGATCTCGAACACATGTACCATATGTGGAACACATGTACCAGATCTCGAACACATGTACCATATGTGGAACACATGGAACAGATCTGGAACACATGTACCATATGTCGAGCAGCAGAGTTAGACAGAAACACACACACGACTGAAACAATCAGATGGCTCGGAAAAGCTCAACTAAATAAATATTTAGAACAAAGAAGAATCTTTTATCTACGATTTTTTTGAAACCATTATATGTGGAACACATGTAACAGATCTGGAACATATGTACCATATCCTGAACACATGTACCAGATCTGGAACACTTGTACCATATGTGGAACACATGTACCAGATATGGAACACATGTACCATATGTGGAACACATGTACCATATCCTGAACACATGTACCAGATCTGGAACACATGTACCATATGTCTATCAGCAGAGTTAGACAGAAACACACACACGACTGAAACAATCAGATGGCTCGGAAAAGCTCAACTAAATAAATATTTAGAACAAAGAAGAATCTTTTATCTACGATTTTTTTGAAACCATTCATGTTAGCAGAAGTAACAACATCCCTGCCAAGTGACCCAATTTCGTCGGGTTACACCCAGGATTTTAGCCCTTCACCTCCTTTTTTTAGTAAAACAACTGAAAAAACTGCACTTATTTCACTCTTGACCTAAAGATATCTTTAATGGTTTAGAAGTTATGGCCCAGACAAGTTTTGAACTTGTTTGACCTTTGACCTTGAAATCAAATTGTTTTAAAAACAAGTGCAATCTATCAGTACTTTCCCCGAGTAGTTAAATATTACCTTTTCCACTTCAGGAGTATCAATCTCATACGGTGTTCTAGCTTGTGAATATCGCTGCTTCAAATTTCTACAAATTAAAGAAAGAATGTAATGTTATAGAGTTATTATCATGGCAATTTGATCATACCTCAGTTTTTGGGTCTACCTGAAGTTGCATGCTCCCCTCCCATAAGCATTGCAGTAGCACGACCTCTATCAATTTTTAGTAACTGTGGCATAATTGTCAAAGGAAATATTGTTTGTAAAAGTGTTAGCGATGTAGCGTCTGGATATTAGTGACAAATTGATACTGGTTTGAATGAAAAAGAACACACATGTTTGTGCAGGCACGGGTATTTTGCTATTTTAGCTGCACCGGATGGGCAAGGTTTCACGTCACACCTGGTTAATTCTGAACATTGGTTAAGGTTGTAGGCAGGGTGCACTTTAATTTCCACGATTTTAATACAGCAAAAGTACATAACAATTTTAGAAGTTGTGTAACTTCTTCGTTTCAGTATACATACAACATAAGAGGGCTTAAGTTACCACAGTACTGTGATAATACCATAGCAATCGTACTATCATCCTAAATAAGTTTTTTTTTTAAAGAACTGAATGGCAAATGATTACCTGCCCACGAAAAACAAGCCAGCAATGATGAGGACTGCAATAAATAAACCAGCTATTGCAATACCAGTAATTCCTCCTGTTGAAAGATCTGAAAAAATGAAAAAAATACTGGTTACTAATCAGTGATCTTGACTCTTACCTTGGGACCCTGAAACACGGGAATCCTCTAGATCCAGGTGATTCTCCTACCTCACCTCTATATAAACTTTCATGTAATTCTATTGAGAAATTTACTTGGTAGAGGTATGGCAATAAAGGCAATAGGACAGGGCAGGATGGGTAACACTATTTCAATAGTTAAATATATTTCCCCCCCCCCACCCGGAATATCTCATATTTATGGGACAGATTTTTAGCACAAGGGTTCAAACACAATACTGCAGTATTTACAATGCTATTTCAGAACAGTATGAGAGCAAAAGGTCCAAGGGACCTGAGGTGATTAAAAACTAACTACCCGTAAAGTGATGGATATTTCTTTCTATACGTTTGTTGTGGGATGTTCACCTGTCCTACTTGTTATGTACTGGCATTATAACGGACTGAGCACTATACCGTATTTTACCGCAAATAAGCCCTCTCTCGCAAATAAACCCCCTCCCCATTTTGGCAAATGTCCTGGGAACAGGATGGGTGTCTGCAATTAAGCCCCCTCCCTAATTTTGTCTCCATCTCAAAAAAAATGTATGTCAATTTTTGTCTCTGACATAAGCAATTTAGCTAAATGGATACAAAACAACATAAATCCAAGTTAAAATACTACAAATAACTGTGTTTCTGAATTAGGCACAATAGTAAACAGCATGTCGTGACATGTACTCTTTACCGAGTACCCTGATTCTGTATTATTTTAGCCGTCCACTGTTGGGTGGTGTTTGGAATGAAATATGAACTTTTCTGTAACCTACCATTGTTGGTGGCTGTACCATACTTCATCTCGCTGCGGAGGCTGGTTTGCGATGAAGCAGAGCTAAACATGGACACACCATACCGCTTATCTTTCTCTAGGTTTCTGATGATGTATTCCGTCTTGGATGTGGATGGAACTACCACTGATTTTTTTTGTCCTGAAGGAAAAAACTTCACTGATAAAAACACTATTGAAACACAAATCTGTTTTGACAAACTAGTTGAATATATATTACAAGGCAAAGTACTTTGAGCAATGTATATATACACCCACACCTCTGAACAAACTTTCGTATCAAAATAGAACATAGGTCCAAAACTAGTAGGGCAGAAGACATGACTTTATTATGTGTCAATCTGTCATTCAGAGTGGTACTCAGGTACAAAGTTAGCGACTGCAAGCGACAGAATATATGAGATAAAGTGATAAGTGATTTCGAGTAATAAAGGGCCATAACTCTGTTTATAAGTTTGAACAAGGCCTGGTTATAGTACCCAAAGCCCTGCCATCCCAAGAAGTACTCCAACTACTGAAGGTTGAGTATATGCTGCATGTGACCTGAATAAAAGTACTGTACTAACGATTGATTTCTCCATATGTAGTAATTGATGGGGTACTTCTACATCAGTAGAATTGTAGAAATGCCCGTCTCTTCAGCTGTATAGAACAAAGTATGTACAAATACCTCGGTTCTATAGACAACTTAGAATGGACATCATAACACTAAAGAATGGTGTTTGTGTACTTACACTGGTCACACATACACTACAGAATGGTGTTTGTGCTTACTAACACTGGTCACACATACACTACAGAATGGTGTTTATGTACTTACACTGGTCACACATACACTACAGAATGGTGTTTATGTACTTACACTGGTCACACATACACTACAGAATGGTGTTTGTGTACTTACACTGGTCACACATACACTACAGAATGGTGTTTGCGTACTTACACTGGTCACACACACACACTACAGAATGGTGTTTGTGTACTTACACTGGTCACACATACACTACAGAATGGTGTTTGTGTACTTACACTGGTCACACATACACTACAGAATGGTGTTTGTGTACTTACACTGGTCACACATACACTACAGAATGGTGTTTGTGTACTTACACTGGTCACACATACACTACAGAATGGTGTTTGTGTACTTACACTGGTCACACATACACTACAGAATGGTGTTTGTGTACTTACACTGGTCACACATACACTACAGAATGGTGTTTGTGTACTTACACTGGTCACACATACACTACAGAATGGTGTTTGTGTACTTACACTGGTCACACATACACTACAGAATGGTGTTTGTGTACTTACACTGGTCACACATACACTACAGAATGGTGTTTGTGTACTTACACTGGTCACACATACACTACAGAATGGTGTTTGTGTACTTACACTGGTCACACATACACTACAGAATGGTGTTTGTGTACTTACACTGGTCACACATACACTACAGAATGGTGTTTGTGTACTTACACTGGTCACACATACACTACAGAATGGTGTTTGTGTACTTACACTGGTCACACATACACTACAGAATGGTGTTTGTGTACTTACACTGGTCACACATACACTACAGAATGGTGTTTGTGTACTTACACTGGTCACACATACACTACAGAATGGTGTTTGTGTACTTACACTGGTCACACATACACTACAGAATGGTGTTTGTGTACTTACACTGGTCACACATACACTACAGAATGGTGTTTGTGTACTTACACTGGTCACACATACACTACAGAATGGTGTTTGTGTACTTACACTGGTCACACATACACTACAGAATGGTGTTTGTGTACTTACACTGGTCACACATACACTACAGAATGGTGTTTGTGTACTTACACTGGTCACACATACACTACAGAATGGTGTTTGTGTACTTACACTGGTCACACATACACTACAGAATGGTGTTTGTGTACTTACACTGGTCACACATACACTACAGAATGGTGTTTGTGTACTTACACTGGTCACACATACACTACAGAATGGTGTTTGTGTACTTACACTGGTCACACATACACTACAGAATGGTGTTTGTGTACTTACACTGGTCACACATACACTACAGAATGGTGTTTGTGTACTTACACTGGTCACACATACACTACAGAATGGTGTTTGTGTACTTACACTGGTCACACATACACTACAGAATGGTGTTTGTGTACTTACACTGGTCACACATACACTACAGAATGGTGTTTGTGTACTTACACTGGTCACACATACACTACAGAATGGTGTTTGTGTACTTACACTGGTCACACATACACTACAGAATGGTGTTTGTGTACTTACACTGGTCACACATACACTACAGAATGGTGTTTGTGTACTTACACTGGTCACACATACACTACAGAATGGTGTTTGTGTACTTACACTGGTCACACATACACTACAGAATGGTGTTTGTGTACTTACACTGGTCACACATACACTACAGAATGGTGTTTGTGTACTTACACTGGTCACACATACACTACAGAATGGTGTTTGTGTACTTACACTGGTCACACATACACTACAGAATGGTGTTTGTGTACTTACACTGGTCACACATACACTACAGAATGGTGTTTGTGTACTTACACTGGTCACACATACACTACAGAATGGTGTTTGTGTACTTACACTGGTCATACATACACTACAGAATGGTGTTTGTGTACTTACACTGGTCACACACACACTACAGAATGGTGTTTGTGTACTTACACTGGTCACACATACACTACAGAATGGTGTTTGTGTCCTTACACTGGTCACACACACACTACAGAATGGTGTTTGTGTCCTTACACTGGTCACATATACACTACCGAATGGTGTTTGTGTCCTTACACTGGTCACACAAACACCATTCTGTATGTGTGACCAGTGCAGGTACACAAACACCATTCTGTAGGGTGTGTGTGACGAGTGAAAGGACACAAACACCATTTTGTAGTGTGTGTGTGACCAATGTAAGGACACAAACACCAGTCTGTAGTGTGTGTGTGACGAGTGTAAGTACACAAACAGCATTCTGTAGTGTATGTGAGACCAGAGTAAGGACACAAACACCATTTTGTAGTGTGTGTGTGACGAGTGTAAGTACACAAACACTATTCTTTAGTGTATGTGTGACCAGAGTAAGGACACAAACACCATTCGGTAGTGTGTGTGTGACCCGTGTAAATACACAAACACCATTCTGAAGTGTGTGTGTGACCAGTGTAGGTACACCAACACCATTCTGTAGTGGGGGTGCGACCAGTGAAAGCACACAAACACCATTCGGTAGTGTGTGTGTGACCCGTGTAAATACACAAACACCATTCTTTAGTGTATGTGTGACCAGAGTAAGTACACAAACACCATTCTTTAGTGTATGTGTGACCAGAGTAAGTACACAAACACCAGTCTGTAGTGTGTGTGTGACCAGTGTAGGTACACAAAGAAGATTCTGTAGTGTATGTGTTACCAGTGTAAGTACACAAAACTCATTCTGTAGTGTATGTAGGACCGTATAAATGTGTGTAAGGGTCTGTGTGTAAATGTGTGTGTTTATACAGACACTTACACACACACACATTTACACACAGACACTTACACACATTTATACACAGACACTTACACACATTTATACACAGACACTTACACACACACACATTTACACACAGACATTTAAACACACACACATTTACACACAGACATTTAAACAAGTGGAGAAGGATCCACACTTATGGTTACTTAAAGTTGACAAATGAAACTATGGAACTGCTAACACACAGATTTACACACAGACATTAACACACAGACATTTACACACAGACATTTACACACACACACACACACAGAGACATTTACACACACACACACACACAGAGACACATTTACCCCCCC